TTTTTTACATTTATTTTACATTATCAGGAGAATGCAGTGTAATTTTTCTGAAGTGTAGCAGATGCTAATATTAGACCTGTAAACTGAAAAAAGCCATTCCAAATGAATATATTGGATCCAGGTATGTCTTAAAGGAAGTATGGCCTCAGTGCAATAACAGAATACTTCTGATTGGTTTGCCAGACCCTTAAATACACAGAGATAAAACTGTTTTGCCTAGACCACACGGATGACATCTACATGTAATAAACTCCCAAGTGAAGCCTGGAAAATCTGAATTTATGATGTATGTTAAGTGGCTGACTCGTTCGTTTATATACTTGTCACTTCCTGATGTCATTCATCTAGTTCAAAGTACCGTCTGGATTGTTTCTTCTGACAAATAGTGCTGATGTGCTCCATTTCCTTTGTGGGCGGGGTGTTAGAATATCACTACTCCTTATTTGCTGATGTTGGCTCTGATTGGTTGCAGAGAGCTCAGAGTGGGTTTCTGTCTGAAGTGCTACTCACAGGGGAATGGAGGCAGTGAGCTGCATTCTTCTGCTCTTGTGATGGTTTTCATGCATCATAGTTCACAGGCTCTTAAGCACATGCGATAGTTTGAGTTTCATTAAATAACATTTTATTATTCTGCCTTGTCCTTGATTCTTATGCTGTTATGCATAATTTTGACTTCACTTTATTCTTTGTGCCTTTCTTTCTCTTTTTTGCACACTGTCAACTAGAGATGTGAATACATCAATAAATACTATAATATTAAATGATAATAAAATAACACTGATCATATTTGATTCGTTTTTTTTTTCTTTTGTTCAAACATTTCTTTTTTCTTTTGAAATCCTTCTTTCACGCATACATCCTTATAAATTTTCTACTCACTGCTGATGAGGTATTGCTCTGTTTTGGCCATGGGAAAAAGCAGAGAGTTTGTGGCAGCGCACAGGTGTGCTTCTGTGCACCCAGAATTCCTCTCCTCTTCACGAAGCACAGCCCTCTTGGCCCTGTTCAAACAATACTTTTGCCTCAGCTGCTCTATTATGAGAGCACACAAAGGCCTTTAGTGACTGGACAATGGGAGTTTATCGCCAGTCCTGGGTGCCATCTCACCCTGGTGCCACACTGTACTCATGCCATGTTGGCACTGTAAATAACACAGCGAGTCAATAAAGAACTTTATAGTACATGCACACACCACTGTACAAGCATCCAGTTAATTGTATTGTACACATCATTTTCTGGAAGCTGCTTTTGCTTTGGTCTGTGTTTTATTTTATGACTGTGCTGTTCTGAACATGATTGGATGCTGGAGATCATAGTGTGGGTGTTTAGGGAATGTTTAGGGGTGTAATAAAATGATTTGGAGAATTTGCTCATAAACACATTTAGTTTAGTGGACACCCTGCTGCGACCAGAGACTGATCTGCAGCAAAACGCTTCTTAGCTTTCTGATTTAGCGTCCCTCAAATACAGAATGACACACTGGCACTCCAAAAGGATGTAACTGTGTTTTCTCAGTGGATAGCAGTTAACTCTGTGAGTTCTGTTATTTGTTTTTGTTTTTCTCAAGCATAATCTTAATAAATGATCAGTTTTTTTGTTTCTTTCTCTATAGCGGTGGCTGCAGACCCCACAGACAGTCCACTGTTCCTGCCCTACAAGGCCTTGCTTTCCACGATGAGGAGTATGGTGTTCACTGAAGGAGAGGCCCAGCAACTCATTGAGATTCTGTCTGATAAGGCTGGCATTATTCAAGACACATGGCACAAAGTAAGGCCAACTTCCTAAAGTCGTTTTTTTTGTTTCATATTTTTAAATGAGTGGTCTTTCACTTTCTATCACTTTATTTGAACTCAACCAGGAAGTTTGTCTAAATAGAGTTTCGTGCATGTTTATAGGCCACACAGAAGGGTGATCCGGTAGTTGTGCTGAAGAAACAGCTGGAAGAACGAGACAAGCAGCTGGCAGCCGAGCAGGAGGACTCAGCAGCTGTTAAAAGCAGACTGAGGGATTTGAGTAAAGTGAGGCTTGAACAACTCATGCCAGTCTAAAAAAGAGTCTCACACAAATTAGGAAAAGTTTGATATGTGCACACACATCAAGCCTTATAAGTACTCTGTTATTATAGACTCTATTAGTTGAAAAGTCAATATTTTGCTTTGGTCTGATGGAGATAGTGGCAAGGTTTGAACCTACACTACCGTTCAGGGTTGGTAATGGCTGCCTAGTATTTTTGTTGAAATCTTGATACATATTTTTTCGGAAGTTCAAAAGAACATTTATTTGAAATATGTCTTTTGGAACATTATAAATCTTATAAATCACTTTTGATAAGTTTAATGAGTCCTAGCTGAATACAAGTAATCATTTCTTTTAAGCAAAAAAATAAAAATAAAAAATCACATCAACGCCACACTTTTGAATGGTAGTGTACAAATATTTTTTCCAGCTCTACATAACCCATCAACTAGAAGCCACAAGTATTGTGATGACTAGTTTTCATGCCAGATCATGACCCGTGTATGATTTGTTTGCGTATAGGAGCTCTCTGTGGAGAAGTCAAAGGTGGCGTCTGTAGAGACCAGGCTGAGCTCTCAGCTGAGTAAGCGAGAGCAGGACATTATTGCCCTGCAAGCACGCATGCAGGCCAGTTATCAAGACCACCTTGCGGAGACTCAGCATCTTAATGCCAAAGTAAGAGCTCAGCACAGATTCTTTGCCGTACACCTGCATGGTAGCAAGACTCTCTAAAAAGTCACATGATTACAAGGATGTCTACCAAAATATTGATTTAGTAGGACAGAAAATTAAAATATTAATCGCATGGTAATTTTTACATTTAACATGATTAATCTCATATTATGAGCTGGATTAAGTAGGGCCATAATGGAATATTTTTCTTCCAAAATATGCATTTATTTGTTATAGATTGTAACATAGATGGTGGTTTTCTCATTAACATTAGGTATAATGTCAAAGTAAGTAAATGTATTCAATTTAACAGGATTAGATGCTTTTAATTAATCACATTAGTGAACTTTGGCAGCCCTAATATTTACGTGACGTGCCTAAGCCCTTTCTGCTCCTCCTTAGATCTTGGCTCTCCAGGACCAGCTGGAGAAAGGCCCTAATGCTCAGCTGGCCCGGAGTCTCACACAAATTAGGAAAAGTTTGATATGTGCACACACATCAAGCCTTATAAGTACTCTGTTATTATAGACTCTATTAGTTGAAAAGTCAATATTTTGCTTTGGTCTGATGGAGATAGTGGCAAGGTTTGAACCTACACTACCGTTCAGGGTTGGTAATGGCTGCCTAGTATTTTTGTTGAAATCTTGATACATATTTTTTCGGAAGTTCAAAAGAACATTTATTTGAAATATGTCTTTTGGAACATTATAAATCTTATAAATCACTTTTGATAAGTTTAATGAGTCCTAGCTGAATACAAGTAATCATTTCTTTTAAGCAAAAAAATAAAAATAAAAAATCACATCAACGCCACACTTTTGAATGGTAGTGTACAAATATTTTTTCCAGCTCTACATAACCCATCAACTAGAAGCCACAAGTATTGTGATGACTAGTTTTCATGCCAGATCATGACCCGTGTATGATTTGTTTGCGTATAGGAGCTCTCTGTGGAGAAGTCAAAGGTGGCGTCTGTAGAGACCAGGCTGAGCTCTCAGCTGAGTAAGCGAGAGCAGGACATTATTGCCCTGCAAGCACGCATGCAGGCCAGTTATCAAGACCACCTTGCGGAGACTCAGCAACTTAATGCCAAAGTGAGATTCTCTGCCGTACACCTGCATGGTAGCAAGACTCTCTAAAAAGTCACATGATTACAAGGATGTCTACCAAAATATTGATTTAGTAGGACAGAAAATTAAAATATTAATCGCATGGTAATTTTTACATTTAACATGATTAATCTCATATTATGAGCTGGATTAAGTAGGGCCATAATGGAATATTTTTCTTCCAAAATATGCATTTATTTGTTATACATTGTAACATAGATGGAAGTATTCTCATTAACGTTAGGTATAAGTGAATGCATTCAATTTAACAGGATTAGATGCTTTTAATTAATCACATTAGTGAACTTTGGCAGCCCTAATATTTACGTGACGTGCCTAAGCCCTTTCTGCTCCTCCTTAGATCTTGGCTCTCCAGGACCAGCTGGAGAAAGGCCCTAATGCTCAGCTGGCCCGTCTACAGCAGGAGAACTCTATCCTCAGAGATGCGCTTAACCAAGCTACCAGTCAGACAGAGAGCAAGTATGAACCTACAGCTCCTGCCGAACCCAATCATGTCTTGCTTGCTTAATTCATCTGTTTCACAATATGAGATTGCAACAGACTAACTAGCGTCACGCTAGTATATATAAAATATTGTAACCACGCAGCCGTCAAAAGGTCTTCATGTGGGTTGTTGATAATTGCAGCTAGTTATGATGACAACTCGGAATACTCATATTTGTGCCATCTGTGCAAACTGCAAAATTTACTTTTTACTTATTAAATTTTATTTTAAACTAGCATATTCCATCCTGATCTTTTCAACATGATTCATATATATATAATTTATTATTCATATTTTTTTTTTCTTACCAGCATGTCACATTCCTTCAAACTACTGGCACCTTTCTGATACAAACAATACCAGATTGAATTTCACTTGGAGATGTCAGATTACCATAGCATGTTGCAAATGATGTTTCATGTTGACTTTAATTCTACACTGTGGTGTCCAGAATAGTAATGATTTTTTTTCTTTCTTTTTTTTTTTTTATCCATTAGACAAAATGCTGAATTGGCCAAACTGCATCAGGACTGCATTCGACTGAATAAGGAACTGGTGGAGAAGAACGAGGCCTTGCAGGCTGATGAACAGCTCAGGAAAAATCTGGAATCTAAAGCTGCCACAGCTGAGAAACAACTGACCCAGTTGCAGGTCAGTTACCCACCTTTCTAAAACCATTCTTTGCACCACAGACGCCAATCATTCCTGTTGTTTCGTTTGCTGAGTTGTAGTTAGTTTTGTGATGCCTCTTTCATAAGAGTTCAAAATGCCACTCTAATTCTAATAAAACATCTCCCAGCATGAGCACCAGCCTCATTAGAGCTCTCTGCTACCTCTCGCGGGGCTGTTTAGCCTTGCACATCCGCAGGTCGGCAAGTTTAGTTTCTTGCAATCTGTGTGTGTATTTAAGAAGCTTGATTAGGCTTGCTGGTAAAGCTGAGGCTTTGACCCCCCAGTGCTAGTGCCTCTACTAATGGGATTGTTCACATGCTGGCAGAACATTTGATTGCCAGTTTGATCGCTCAGCAGTGCTCTGTGTGTTGGTACATGGCCCGCGCTACAGGGAAGCGCTTCTTCGAGCGATCTGGAATGTGAGCCTGCTTGAGCAGTACAGTTTCAGGCAGAAGTATTTTATTATGCATACTGGAAACACAGATAAAACAGCTTTAGCATCTCTTCACTAATCCGCTGCTACAAACCATAAGACCACTGAATAAAATGCAGCCCTGTGTGTTGGAAGTGTGTCCTGAGCCCATTTTAAGCATCTAGACAGTGTACTGGCTTAGGAGAGACATGAGTAATGTCTGGAGAGTGTAAGTCATTGATCTAAATACAATTTTTTGTGTAGAGTAACCTTATGAGAAACGTTATTTTAAAAAAAAAGTTTTGATATAACCTCCGAGTAGCCGAACACAGAGAGAATCAATGTTCCTATGTTACGTTAGAACCCAGTTAGAAATTTGTGTAAATAACCATTTGGACATACAGACAAACCTAAAAATAACCTAAAAATTATTCAGACACCATATATAATTTTTTATGTTTTTTTACTAGTGGGTGCAGGACACTATAGTTCATTTATGCAAGTGAGGATAGCAAAATAAAGTAAACTGTGACATATTATACCCAAAAATTCTTCATACAGTGGACTACCAGTAAAACTGATAAAAATTTGGGACCAAAAATTATTCAGACACTTCTGACCATATTTTACTTAAGTGTTATCTGACATTATCAAGATGAATTTGTTCTGACACAAATAACTCTGAGCTCTTGTCATATTTTATTACCATTTTCTAAACTGTAATAATGTGTGAAATGTTGAAGGCGTCTGAATAAATTTTGGTTTGACTGTAAAATAAATGTAATTTACATTGCCTCCCTCCAAAAAAGTAATTGAACACAAAACTGTTTGAATGTTGTTTATCATGTCAGAACATAAAATCGTGGTTACTGTTTTTAAGTTTTAGGTAGTTATGCTCCATAGTGACTTAGATTGCACATATGGTAGGTACATATTTTACATTTTATCAGTTCTTGCTTTTCCTAGGTATCGAACCCATGACCTTGGTGTTGTTAGCGTTGTACTCAACTGTTTGAGTTGTATGACCAAATCTGAACTGTGTTTTCTGTTTTCATGCTTTGTCCCCTGCAGGGGAACTGGGTGAGCAGTGAACAGGCTCTGCAGAAGCGTCTGGAGGACGTGAGTGAGGAGCTCAGACAGACCCAGAGCTCCAGAAACAGCCTTCAGACACAGCTTGAACAAGCTCAGAAAGATGCCACTGCTCTAGCAGGTCAGCAGCACCCACTTGGTTCTTAAGCAAGGAGGCAGACTGTAGAACCACAAGATGGATTCCATAAGATTCAGTCTGCTTTAAAAACATTTCTTTATAACTGAAAAATAGGTTAGATCAGAGCTGCAAATCCTGCAAGGTTTAATGCTTGCAGTATCCATAATGTGTCCTTTAACAAAACGCTTAACATCAGATTTCTTGTGTACTATGTCGCTTTGGACAAAAGTATCAGCGAAATTATGAATTAGATATTAGAAATAAGTGTTCTTTTCCTAACTGCACTGTTTCAGAGGCTCAAGCTCGTGTGTCCAGTATGGAGGTGGAAATGATAGAGCAGACCAGACAGATAGAGAGTCTGCAGAGCCAGCTGAAACTGCTGGAGGCAAGCCAGAACAAAGAACAAAACTACAATTCAGAGGTGACGCTCCACTTTCTATGTCCCAATACATATGTCTTTGTCACTGTATAATAAATTATAGTGATATTATGTTATGTATGTAACCTCATATAAATGTCTGTTACACTTTTTTACAGTGTCCTTGTTGCAGTGTAATTGTACATTTTACATACTGAGTATTATTAATTAATAACATGTACTTACTGTAGGGTTAAGATTAGGGTTTGGTTTAGTTAGTTGCATGTAATTATTTATAGTTTACTGTTATTACTATAGCAAGTACATATAACGTTTGTTAACGTTATGTTAACGTAACAAGGACACTGTAAAATGAAGTGTTACCAAAGTCTTAAAATGATTTGTAGTTAAGGTGTCAAATTGAATAAATAGGTTAAAGTTTGTTAAACATTATGCAATATATGGTTGAGCAGTAATTTCATAAGCATTTGCATGTTTAATATTTACAGGCTTTGATGGCTGAACTGGAGCAAGCAAAGAGCAGGTAAGATATAAGGCCATATTTGCTTGAGATGCAAAAATTGCATAAGATAATAAGACTTGTTTTCAGATGACGATAAAATGTTTATTTTTTCTTCAGTGACAAATCTTCTTGTGTTTGCACAGCAGTCACACAATTTTAGTACAGTTCAACCCCAATAAAAAACATTAATAGATTTTCATCAGCTTTACATCTAACATTTGTTGAAAATGAATTCATATTGTTTGTTTAATCTCTAGCCTGAAGGAGAAAGAAGAGGAGCTGATCCAACTCAAAAACATCATTGCCACTCAGGTGAAGCCGAACATACTGCTTTTTAGACATTTTCAGCTCATCTTAGTATTTCATTAGTAAATTTGACTTTTAATGTGTTCCCTTATTTGAACCAATCACATGTCTTCTTCAGGTGGATAACACAACAGAGGTGCAGCAATTGCAGCACAGGTATTTTCTGCTGCTTCACTAATACAGTTCAGTAGTTCTTAGTTGATTTGAATGATTTGAATCTGTTTATTTTATCTTTTCTTTTGAACTTAAGCATAAAAGAAAAGGATGACCAAATAGCAACTCTTCAGGGAGAGCTCCAACAGGTTAAAGAAAAAGGTTCAGACCTCACCAAAGTAAGCTTATCATATGCAAACCTTTACACCTCAATAATTCAATTTAGACTTAACCATTCATGCCATTTAAAAAAAATTATTTATAGCTTGAAAACACAGAAATGCTGGAACAGCTACAAAACAGGTATACGTCATTTGTGATCCAAACAACAGCTTCAAATTCATGTTTTTTTCACATTCTTTTATTAAGATTTAATGCCGTCTGTTCTCTTTTTCCTGTTCCTGTAGTTTGAAAGAAAAGGAGTCTCAGGTGGCTTTGTTTGAAGAAGAGATGAGGCACTGTAAAGAACAGTATGACACTAAAGTAAGTGAGACTTTGCTGTTATTATTATATTAGTACTTTTGACTTTTAAAGCTAAAGTGTATCATTTGTTAGTTTAAAAAATGCACCGATTTCTAATAATGCACTCTTCATTTACAGCTGGCAGATAGCACAGCCAAACTGGAGTCACTACATAAAAGGTACATATTCAGTCCAACTGAATGCCACTGCATGTTTATGTTCCTGTCAGCCACCCACATTAACACCATTTTGAGATAAGTGTCTTCTTCCACAAAAAAATTAGTTTTTTTTAATAATGTTTTTCAGTGTAACTGAAAAAGAGAGCCTAGTGACATCAGTACAACAGGAAGTGCAGCAGCTCAAGGATCTAAATCAGTCACATGGCAAGAGTTACGTAAGTAGCCAAGACTATTGTGGACGTGCTTGTCTTTATCTTGCATGTACACAGTGATTCATAAAAATATGCGTAGGCACACATCTTATCTCATCATGTCAGCTGGGTATATGGTCTTGCTGTATAAAGCAGATTGTTGCAGTGCCCTTCCATTTCTATTTCAGAAGTCTTGACTTTTAAATTACCATATAGGTTTTTCTGTGTAAAATGTTACCGGTACTACTGGTATTAAAAATGGTGACACAGATAAAAGAAGTGTTAAAGGGGTCATATGATGCTGCTAAAAAGAACATTTGTTAGAACGAGCCATTTTAGGTAGGCGTGGTTAACTCTTAACTTTTATAAAGAATATCTCTTTGGTTTTGAGACTTTAGTGTTTGCAACTTTACAGATCTTCTTTATGCACCAAGAGCTTGTAACACTCCAAAGAGAAAGGAAAAATTGAAATCGCATCATATGACCCCTTTAAAGGTCATCATTTTACTCAACAGTTTTAATTAGAATGAAACCTCAAATTATATATGTTTCATATTATTTCACTATTTAAAAATGTTCTTTTGGTTTAGACCGTATTTAGTTGTGCTAAGTGTCTCAGCTTTTACCCAAGACAGAAGATATAATTTTTTTGTTGAATTTCTGTGCATCGATTTGAATTTTTGTTGTTTGTAGAGTTTTTAATGTAAATATCGTGTTCAGTTGTCACTGAGCATTTAATTTTGTTACAGAAAAGTTTGGAGGATATGCTTAAATCTGTCCAGGCTGAGACCAAAGAAGTTCTTCACTCTTTTTTCCCACACATCAACATAGAGACAGCACAGGTGTCTAGGATTTCAGTTTTCTCATGCTTTTTAATATTGACTTGTTTTGGAAAAGTACCATTCAAAAGTTTGTTCTGCATTTATTTGATCAAAATGACAGTAAAAACAGTAATAATGTGAAATAGATTACTATTTAAAATAACTGTTTTCTATATTAATATTTTTAAAATTTAATTGATGTGATGGCAAAGCTGAATTTTCAGCATGCATTACTCCAGTCTTCAGTGTGACATGGTCCTTCAGAAATTATTCTAATATGATGACTTTGGTGCTCAAGAAATATTTTATTATTGCTATTATTATTATTGTATATAAAAGTATTCATTTCTTTAAAACAAAAAAATCTTGGTGACCCCAAACCTTTGAATGGTAATGTACTTGATGCACTTCTATTCACATCCTTGATTTTTAGCTAATCCTGAGTCTCTCGTTCTCATCTTTCAGACCGATTGGCTTCAGGACTTTGCTGTGAAAGCACAAGAGGTGCTAAATCAAAAGCAACAGAGCCAAGAATCCCAGCAGAGCACAGAGATGGTGGTAAGTGTGCTGCAGGTCGTAGCCTTGTGCTATTATCATCTTAAAGTGGTTCTTTGTTGCCCCCTAGTGGGAATGTAAGGCATATTTGTAGTTACCACAATGCTTTTTTTATTATTAGGAGATAATGGGGAAACTACAGGCAGCCCAGGAGAGTCAGTGCACACTACAGTCTGAGTGTGAGCAGTACAGGAGTGTACTGGCTGAGACGGTGAGATTATACACCAAGAATCTGTTTCAGCAAAGCCTTAATGAGAATTGGATCAAGCCGAATTTGTTTCCTGATGTTCTATAGGAGGGGATGCTGAAAACACTTCAGAAGAGTGTAGAGGAGGAGGAGAGGGTGTGGAAGACCCAGATAATGGAGTCTGAGGAGAAACTGAGGATGGTAGGTCAATACACTGTATTAACACACACACGCATATAATTCTACAGACACATTTACATTACATTTACATTTAGACATTTAGCAGACGTTTTTATCCAAAGCGACTTACAATTGGGGGATACATAAAGCGATTCTTCTTAAAAGAGGCAAACAGATACAGGAAGTGCTTGTAAACCAGGGGTTAGAAGGGGCAGCGCGTGCTGGCCTGGAGGAGAGAGGACAAATATCATCTAGACAAGAGGTTAAAGTAGAGCATAAAGTGTCAGTTGCTGCATTCACATCCAGAGATGAGAAATGGGTAGGTGAGGGAAGAGACACAGTGTAAGCACAATAATTTAGAAAAAGAGTTTATTATGTTTCCTTTGATTATAGAAAATGCTATTTTTGGTTATAATTTTATTGAAGTTTTCATGGGCAAGCTGTGTTTATGAAAAATTTTCATAATGTTTCGGGGGAATTTGGTAGATCATTCCACCACCAAGGGGGACAGTGAGTGTTAAAGCTTCAGTCTGTCAATTTATGTTTTTTATAGGCACTCAAAAAGGTGCAGGAATTAGAAGAGACAACAGAGAGCTTGAGAGCGGACAACCTGAGGACCCAACAGGTAGGCCTGTCACGATAACTTTTTGTTGTGCGATATATTGTCCCAGAAATAATTGCGATAAGCGATATTATTGTCATTTTTAAAGACCATTTTATGCCACTGAATATATAATCATAATGTAACAGCATAATAATGCAAGAAGGCCTACACACTTTCAAATGACAACAAACGTTTAATTGGTCATGTACATATATTGCGCGATAAGTCGATATATTGATTATTGCGACAGGCCTACCAACAGGTATAGATTTCACCTGTGGAAATGAATTTTTGCACTGTAGGAATACAAAAGATGAGTATTACAGAGTGCAAAAAAAGTATCAGGCTGTACCCTGAAAATGTCCTGTCTGGGTTACGAGTCCGACTCTCTAACCATTAGGCCACGACTTTCCCAAATATCCAACACGTTCCTATACAAATAAAGGTGTGTGTTTGAATAGTTAATAATTAAATATTTCATATTAGGACTCAACTAATGCATTCTCATTCATTATTTATTTTACATTCAAATGACTTTTCTCCAATGAGCAACATTTAACCATTTATATACAGGGTCCTCGTGGGTCCTTAAATCATTATATGCCTTCAATCCAAATTTAAGGTCATCTTTATCTCTTAAATGGTATAACAGATGTCCTAATATCACTTTAAGATGATAAAATCCTAAATTTGGGAACGGAAATAAAGGAATTGTGATGCAGCCTTTTAAATGTTATGTTATGATTTAATTAAATGTGAGTGCTTATGCTCTACTATTGGTGATTGATGGCAGTATACTTTATGGTTTAAGGATGCATACTTATCTCCCTCATCTGTTTGAATGAGCAGCTGGAAGCCTAGACATTTCAAAATGGGCTTGTTTATATTTTAAAGTCCAACATTATTCATAAAATCTGTTTTTTTTTCTTATGATTGGTATTTTGGTAACAGAATGAACTATATCTGGCATTTAATTCAATGTAAACTCTTGTAGCTTCTCTCGGGGCCAACTTTTTTGACAGATTCAGTATATAGATTTTCCTAGTATTGTCACAATAATTTGTTTGTCTTTCTTTAAACACATCATTGTATTGGCAAAATTTAATATCACTCATTTTTATAATATATTGGTACATAAACTTCTATCAATACATATAGAATAAAACTTGTCTTGAGTATTTTAAATTTGTTACTCTGTTTTGCTTCTAAGCAGTTTTAAGTCCCTGTTGAATGTGTGTCCCAGCTTATTTAATTAAGTACAAGAGATAAATGATGGGGAAACTATACTGGGATACATGATTTATTTTGAGATTTTATCGGTTTGTTCTGTATGGACATACAGTATTGTATTTTATTTATATATTTAGTTATTTTTTGGACTTTAAAACCCTGCAGACATACTGGTTCATGCTACCTTAGTAGTAAGAAACCCAAGTGTATATACAGAAGTACATTTTAAGAGCACTCAGTATTCCTCATTCTCTAACCTGAAATTCTCATTCAGTCTGTATCCTTAATCTGTCCATTTTTTCCCCCATGTGTAGCTGGAGGAGAACGTGATGTTGCTTGAGGCCCAGTTGGAGAAACGGCTCCAGTCAGCATCCACTGACAGCCAGAGTCAATCTGAAGAGATAACACACGTGAGCGCACACTCCTGCCTTAATGCTGATTCACTAAAGCACAATATGAGATGCAAAAGCAAAACAAAGCCAACTTAGTCAGTCATTCAACGCATTTTATCTATTTTAAATAATGGTTTTGTCTTTGTGAAGAGGTTGATTGGCAAGCATCGTTTAATATTAAGATCTGATGTGGTTTTGAGAAGATCTTGAGATCTAGCCCTGCTCTGCCACTTAACAGTTCATTTTATTTGTTTTCAGTTGAAGCATGTTTTAGCAGAATCAGAAAGACAGTTGAATGTGGCCCAGCAGGAGATACAGACGCAGAGGGAGGAGCTTTCACAGGTTGGTTTCCCTTGAAGTCCAAAGCCATTTGCTAAAGGTTTACACCTATTATTCTTTGTTTACCCACAATCATGTGGCAAACAGGAGGTTTTGCCAAGGAAAAACACAGAAGTTGGTTTTGTTGAGTGACAGCTTCTATTTCCAGGTCGGGCAGCAACTGAGTGACGTGACAAAGCGAACTCAGGGAGTGGCAGAGAACGGGCAGCCTGAGGCGGAGGAGTGTCAGGTTAGGGTGCGACATAGAAAGGCACCCTGCACCTCACTTGGCAGTATTAGATAGATTTTTCAGTACTAACTGTGGTTCGGTCTCAAAACCTAGCAATGCCTATATAAGAAGTCTTCCAAAAATGGTTGACTGGAATACTGCCTATTTTGCGTATTATGTTATGAGACACAGTCTGTATCAATCGCCAAATATCCATAGAAATGTCAAATCATATTTATTTACACAGTGCTTTTCACTATACATATTGGGATGATTTTACCCTATACAAGAGGCTATATTATGGGCCATATGTATGTTTTTCTCCCTATCCAGTACTGCCAAAGAGGGGATGTTTTACTCATAATTCTAACCATTCATATTTCAGCATTTTGTTTCAGCAGCTTCTGTTAACCCAGGCGCCTGTTTTCACCTCAGAATATCTGCACTCTTGGGTTCTTTCTGTCACACTCACCTTTTTTAACCACTGACATTTGTCTTTTGCATTTGAAACTCATACTTCTATGAAGATCCTACTATTTTTTTTGAGGATTTTATGCTTGTTTTCACTCTCATTTCCTGAATGCATTGGGCACTAATGCAGCTCTTGTGTCAGCTGGCATGGAAAGGCTTTGCAGTAGTTCATGGATTAGCTACAATAACTTATCTACTTATGTGGTATTGTTGGTTTGGTCAGGTCCAGGCTCAGCTGGAACAGACATTGGAAAAACTGCAGGGTGAACGGACTCTAAACCAGCAGCTCTCTGCAGAAGTGGAGCAGGTACAGTGGTGTCCAAGACCTTGTGTTTCTTCTTGATTTCTAAAAACCTGTTAATCATTAAACTCATTATTCCATACTTTATAGACTCAGGAGGCCCTCAAAAAACAGCTTCAGAGCCATCTAGAGCAGATGAAGTCAGCTGAAGACACTGCAGCCATGGAGGATGTTGTTCAGCTGAAGGTACTTTGCACATCGAATAGCTGATAACCAGTATTGTGTGTGTGTGTTTTTTTTCTGCTATTTTTTAAGTGTTCCAGGCCATGTGGGACTGGATGAAAAAGGACAGGCAGATAAAGCTGCTAAGAAATTACTTGAGCTAGGAATGACAGAATGTCAATTTGTCAAATACCAACATGTGATGTGATGTGATGGTGATGTGTTGGTACTGATTTATATATTTCCAAAAAGTGGCGAATGGATTGAATGAATCCATAGCAAATTATATGAATAAGTGAATAAAATTATATTTTCCCAGGAGAAACTTTAAAAACGTCCATTAATGTACTTTGAGGAAAAACATTTCCTAGTACCAGTTTTACAGTCAAAGAAGACTTACAAAAAGCACATAAAGGCAATTCTTCTCCTTTCAAGAAATATACATGGATAGCCTAAGTCCTGTGTGACCAGTTCTACATCTTGTAAATACAGTTTGGACATTTCTAGTTTTAAACTAAAACCAATGCATTTTAATTTATTTGGCCATGAAAATAGCCTTAGATGTTGACATAGCAATAAAAAATAAGCACTATTATGGCTTTGTCCATGCATTCTGGAAGAGCTTTATCTAAAATGTTTCTTGTTTAACTGTTAAAATTGGGTTTCTATGTAAATCCCTAATGCTCATGACTTGGTGTTTTAGGACTGTCTAGAGAAGGAGCGAAAGATGACCAAAGATTTGGGCCAGGCAGCCACCAAACTCCAACAGCTGCTGAGAAACAGTCAGGACCAACCGGCCAAAGAGAAAGAGAACGTCAGGACGCTGCAGGATCAATTGCGAGACAAGGTAAAAACATTATACATATTTATAAATGTTTATAGGACGAATAGCTGCATGCCTATGTTAACGTTGTTTATGTTCTTGTTTTCCAGGAGGGTGATGGAGAGCTGAAGCAAGGCACTTCTGTTTGAGTTGTAAAACAAAAAACTTGCCAAAAATTGCCTTAAGATGACCAAAATGAAGCATTCCGAAATTAGTTTTCTTCCTCTTCCTTCCTTTTTTTTTTTTTT